TGACTGGGGCAGGAAATGGCTTATAAACTTTAATGGCTTCAAAATAAAACTGCTCTCTTTTACCCACCACACAGAACCCTCCCTGCCTCTCATCAGAATGGTTGATACCCAACTCCTCGAGAGCACCTCGCTACGACTGCTTGGTCTCACGTGGTATTTACTCTGCCCCCCTCCCCACCACTAGGACGAGATGAGATACAAGGTTTATTTTTAGGTGGGGACCCTAACGCATACGCCCGGGACAGGAACAAAAATTCCCCTCAGCTCGGTCGGTTGCGCTGGCCTCGATGCGAGCACCGATCCCTCCCTCTGGTGCAATAGGATAGCGCCGCCTCGGTGCTGGGCACCTCTTCATTATTATTTCCCCAGTTACCCCTCTGTTCTTTTGACAGAGAAGCCCCAGAACGCAATCTGCCCAAAGACAGAGACGCAACTGAGAGATGATAAAAAAGTGAACTTACTCATAAAAAGTAATTTACACACTTGGTCTCACACTGTCCGCTGACATGAGGTGCAACAAATACATAGACTCAAAAGCTTCATCTACCTCAAGGAAAGTTGGTTCGCTGTGTCGAGCCACAAAGTTTTTTTCTCGTCTGAGTCCATCGTCTTTCAACTCTATAAATCAACCATCCAACCTTGTATGTAATATTGCTGTCATATATTGTCTGGTGCTCCTGCTGTAAATCTCGAGGTCCTCGACAAAATCCAGCGACGGATATGCAATATGATAGGTCCTGATCTAGCATCTCGTCTACAGTCGCTTTCTCACAGACATGCCGTGGCTTCCCTCTGTCTCTTCTACAAGTATTTTCACGGCAGCTGTTCCGACGAGCTACTTTCACTGGTTCCCGGACTGCATGAAGTTAAACGAGCTACCAGGCTGGTATCTCGCTCCCATCCTTTCCTTGTCAAAACGGTTAAATGTAACCGTCTCTTCTACTCAAACAGCTTCTTCTCTCACACTTCCCGTATGTGGAAGTCCCTCCCACTTACTTGCTTCCCCGATGACTCTAATTTTCAAATATTCAAGTGTAATGTCAATCGATATCTGATACCTTGATCTTGTTCCCCTTCCTTCTCTGTATCCTTTCCTCAAACATGTCTCTATACTCTTGTTCTCAATACTCTGTAACCCTTTGCGTGCTTGTGGCACTCCCGCCTTGTTTGAGGTGAATTGCATAAAAAAGGTTAATTTATATTATGAGGACATAAAAACGAAAATGTATCTGAAGATATCTGATTCAGATCTCTTTACTACTAGCGATTATGACTCTTCTGAGTTTTAATTTGTTTTTAGTATTTTAGTAATATGAATTAATTTTATTTTCTGTTAAATAATAAATTTAAAATTATACATTCGTTAGTCATTTTTAATTAATAACTTCTTGTGCTCAATTGTTGATTAATATCTATCTGCTGATGTGTTAAAGTTTTGGAATAATGCAATAATAAAAAATTAAATTTAATTTCTGATGGATATCACGATGTGTTAATTCAAAACCTTTTTTTTCTATTTTAATAGACTTTTAATTATAATAATGAAAAAGTTACAATGTTTTTTTTTTTCTTAATTTCTTGAATCGTCAATAAAATGATCATAATTATATACTAATAATTCAGTACCGAGCAGATTAACGAATGAACATGGAAGATTTAATATCTGGCTATATTTCTGAGATGAGGCATTGTAATTATTTACACTATTTTTATTCTTCAGACTCATCTTTGTTGCCATATTCACGACGTTTCGACCGTTGTACACTCCGGCCTTTTTCAGGATTTGTCTATATTTCAGCGATGAGGTATTGTAATTATTTACACTATTTATATTGTTCGGACTGTTGTCCTCATCTTTGTTGCCATATTTACGACGTTTCGACCGTTGTACATACGGCCTTTTTCAGAATCTGTCTATATTTCAACCATGAGGTATTGTGATTATTTACACTATTTATGATTGTTTTAGTTCCACATGCCATGCCTCTTCCGTGTGTCTCGCTATCATTTATCTCCCTTTATCTCAACTGTACAAGTTTTATCCTCTGGATCATGTGTCCTTGAGAAGATCAGTGTATGTATTTTTGGGACTTATAAACTTAGTATCTCAATAATCATTTTTTAACTAGAGCTTATGTTGCAATTTTGTTGTTATTATAGCTTTTTTCATGCACTCCTTATCTCTGGTTCCCATATTGTATTCATTTCTATGCTTAGCAAGCTTAGGAGACATTTGTGGCCTAGCATATATGCTGATTCCTTAAGTTTTCGTATTTTCCATTGATTTTCTTTGTCTATTATTTCAACCTCATCCGACAGGGGGCGGTGATTTCCTTTTTCCCTCCGTATATGGTCAGTTACGCCTGCTTTTTCTCTTTTTCATCGTGATACGGCTTTACGGTGTTTTTGCAGTCTTATCAGTTTCTTTTTTATATTTCTTACCACAGCTGCATGGGATGGTGTACACACAGTTCTTCATCATGTGGTATAGGAAAGATCTTACTTGGAAAAAAGGTATCTGCGTAGTGTTGAAATGATTTCTTGATGCTATATGGATCACAGGTCTTTTGTTTTTCCCCGATAATCACTTCACATAGAGTAGGCAGACCAAGGCTCTTTTCTGAGTGTTATTATCGTCTTGTATCCTTGTATCCCAGTCTATCAGAGCTGCTGTCATGTACTCAGGACAGCACAACTATTAAAAACTACCTTCGTATATTAAATAAAACGGTTCACATTGAAATTCACTGAAGGTTAACTGGATTGACGATGAAAGCCAGAAGGAACACCGACTGAAACATTGTGATAATAAAATCAAAGAAGGGGATACTCGTCCGACTCTCTATGATGTGAATATATCCGCAGTCTCATGAGGAAAAGTTGTTCTTTTTTACAAGAGTTATTATTACAATGCACCTAATTCAGTGGTCAGTTTTAATCAGTGACTATTTACGACTAAAAATTCAGCTGATATTCTGTGTGAGGCTTTGGATTTAATGATCGATGCTCTGCGTTTCGAGTCGTCATCATCGTCGTCTAAAGTGCCGTGGTCGAATGGTCTGAACTCAGGGAGGTTCATGGCGCCGTACCGTATCCCAGAATTCGAACCCTTCTACTAAGCTCGAGAAGTCCATTATCTTCTGTCGCGGCTCGAAGTAGATGAGGGCAGTACATTTCTTCGAGACGACATTTGATTTCTTTTTTTTGAAGTTACCCTCTTCAAGCCTTTGCCTAAAGAGACAGGATCTACAAAGCAGCGGGTAGTTTCTGAATTCAGTGTTTTTTCCTTCTCCTAGACCAGTTACCAGCCAAGGCTATAGAACCCATTTTGTCCTGCTAGTTACCCATAGCTGAAGGAAGAAGAGATGGATTTATACCTTTCTCAAGTTTATTAACACGTAAGTGAATGTAATTGATCCGACTGGAATTCGAACTCGGCTCTCCGATTCCTCAAACCGAGCCGCTATATATTACATTACTCCTCCGTTAGTAGGCATGAATACTAACAAAATACACGAAGACTGCTGTTTATATTATTTAATTAGTACATAACCGAGGCGGCTCCCTCCGCGTACGTCTGTCACGGATTCTGTGTCAACCTCTCTCGTTGTCCGATGTACTACACGCTGTACGACCTTTTCTTCTTTTGCCCCCGTTGTTTTCGGCACGTAAACACGGATTCCCTTTTGAAGGCTGAAACTCAGGGTAATGAATTGAGCATGGTCTGAAATGAAAGGGAAAAAAAGAAGAAACGGATAGACTCTGTGTAATAAAATAATTCTGATGTTGGCGGTAAAACAGCAGAGTTTAAAAGCCGTCTATCGGGCGAAGTTTAAGCAAGAACCTGCGGAGAGCTCTTGATTGGGCCTCCGGTTTGTTCAGGAGTTTGAGAGTCTCTAAGTCTTTTCTTACCATTGGAGGCTCTCCTGGCTGCTGTTTGGTCTGTGTTTTCATTTGCACGGGGTTTTCTTACTCTCGCTCCAGCATTGGCTCTTTTGATTGCAATCGGGTTTTGAGTGAGATTTCTATTTGCGAGACATACTTTCTGCCGTATACGATAGGCAACAATAAACTACAGAAGAACTAAAATTTATCCCTGCATTTAAGTATAGCCTTAATATTTAATCATACCTTTTAAAAGTACAACGATAATTTTTCTACCGCCACTTAATTTAAAGACAGTTTGATGTACGTAGGTCCTTAATTTCCATACAAACAATTATTTTTATTTCATGGGTGACTTTCGCTTGATTTCGCAATTAACTTCGATTATTTCCAAATTTATTTTCAAGTTATAAAAAATGTTATCGTACAAAATTTCGTCGCAAAAAAGCACAAACAAAAAATCGCCGAAAACAATTGTATTAATGAAAATTTGGGAATTCGAAATTTCAGGTTTTCGGGTCCCGATCCAACCCGGAATGTTTTTAATTTGCTCACGGAGTTCGCCTGATTTTAAAATGGTATGATATGTTGAGCTCTAGGAGTAAAGTTGAAAATGTATGACACAGTGACACACTGACATTTATATAGAAGAAAATCCAGAAGAAGAAAAAATAACCATAAGATGTAAAATTAATCAAAAAGGGAAAAACCCAAGATGCCAACGACAAATTAGAGATGTCAAAATCAAGAAATATTGTTAGGTTGTCACACAGGAAATTAGAAATAAATAAAACGCTTCTGAAATGTTAAATAAGTCATTTATTTAGTTGAAATAGGCACGGTGTTGTTGAATAATTGGTCTCCAACGTACTTCTAAATTCTTAACTCTATCTTTAAAAAATTCTCATCCTTTGGTGTGACAAACAGTTCAAATGTTTCGATTACTTCTTCCTTGTTGGAGAACGTTTTATTGCATATGAAAATCTCAAAATGTTTAAATAAGTGATAATCAGTAGAAGAGATATCAGGTGAATATGGAGGATGAGGCAAAATTTCATAATTCAGGCTATACAGCTTTTGAACAGTTTATTGATAAGCGTGCAGAGTGTGTTGTCATGCAACAAAATTGGGTCATCTCTAATCTCTTCGTATCTTTTTGTTTCTATCTATCTATCTATCTATCTATCTATCTGAGTTTATTCATTTTTTTGTTTGTTTGTTTTTCTTTCTTTCTTTTTTTCTTTCTTTCTAAGTTTGTTCATTTTTATCTATCTATCTATCTATCTATCTATCTATCTATCTATCTATCTGTCATGGGTCCTTACCTATAACTATAGAATGAACTCTTCCAAACACTATGTATACTACGCCTCTCAAGAGATAGGGACGAATCGAGTCGAGTTGATAGTAGATCACTCTAAACCAGACTGACAGTCATACTAACACCTTCCACATCTTGTATTATTATTTCGTGTAATATACCTTCGTTATTTCTACTCTTGTGTTTGTGTTGTTCTTCCTTGGTCCTAACCTGGACCATAACAGTGGCGACGAATTCTACGCGGAGGATATATATATATATATATATATATATATATATATATATATATATATATATATATATATATAAAAACTTTTTGCTATCGATCGTCCATAACAGAGGCGACGGAGATATTGAGAAAAAAAAAAAAAACAAAACAAAACACCAGTTCTACGCGAAGATAAAAGATAAAAAACTTTTTGGACACCAACCATAATAGTGTTAACGAAGACACGAATTTTACCAGTCAGCCAGAATAGAAACGAATTCTACGCAGGAAATTTTTTTCGTACCAAGGTTCCAGAACAGTAAACGACAAAGACCTGAAGTCTACACAGAGAAAAAAGGAAAAATCATTATACAAGTACACAACTCTAGCTAGAAAGTACATATTGCGAAAAGAAAATTAAGGGGAAAAAGTGAGTTTTTTTTCTTCCTCTTCTCGTGACAACAGGTAGCCTGTGTTATTATTAAATTACAGTGTAAACGTGGAAGAATTTAAGGCAATCATATTGGAACTAATGAAAATGCAATTCAAGCAGCAAAAAAGAATGAGCAAAGACAGACTAGGCTCGAAGAAAAACTAATAGAAATTCAACGGAAAAACGAAGAAAAGCAACTCGAACTGCAATAATTACTACTACGGGCAGTAACAAATAAAGGACAAAATTCTGAAAATGAAGCGGCATTCTCGCAAAATGCTATATGGAGCTCAATCAAAGACTTCACCTATGCACCGGACGAAGACAAAACCTTCGCGGCTTACTTCAGAAGATATGAAGATTCATATGAGTTTGATTCATATGAGTTTGAAGCCGTGAAACTTTTAACGGAATTATTTAGTTCGAATACTACACTATTCCACAAAAGGTGGAAATGTTTAAATTTAACAAAAAAGGATAGCGAAGACTATATAACATTCGCTTCCGTAGTAAACAAACACTGCGATGACTTTAAGTTATCTGAACTCAGTTCTGACAATTTTAAAAGTTTGATATTTGTCCAAGGCCTGGTTTCGACTAAAGATGAGGACATCAGACAGAGAATTCTAACAAAAATTGAGAGTGAACCAAAACTGGCGCTACAAAAATTGGCTGAGGACTGTCAGAGACGTATAACCGTAAAAAAGGACTCAAAAGATATCGAAGGGACTGGCATCACTCACATACGAAAAGTACAACGACAAACACGTTTTTCTCCCTCCTCAAAAACAAACCAAACCAATTATTTTACTACAAAAAGTCAAATGAAACCTCAGAAGAAACCACCACCCAGTCCAAGCTATCGCTGTGGGACTTTACATTGGTACAAATATTGTCCATACCGCTATAAGACTTGTCTGTCGTGCAATAAAGTGGGACATAAAAGTGCTCACTGTAGAACCAAGAAAGAAAACCAAAGCCGAGTAAGAGTCACTAGAACTGACCAAGCGGACGGGATAAATATACGAAAATACATACAAGTAGAAATGTTAAACAAAAAAATCAGATTACAATTAGATTCCGGATCAGGTTTAACTATTATTAACTTACAGGCGTGGAAGAAATTAAACAAAACGACCATGTTGAGAACAGATAAAATAGACAGGTCGGTAACAGGAAGAAAAATTAAATTTGATGGGGAGATTATCACAAATGTGACGTTCAATGGGATGACCAAGAAATTAAAGATGTATGTTCTAAAAAATACGGAAAATTTATTTGGAACTGACTGGATGCAGAAATTTGACCTCTGGGATTTGCCGATGAATACGTTCTGCCAAAAAGTGGAAAGGTTATCGACCGAGGCTGAGAAATTGAAGGAGAAATTAAAGGAGAGTTTCCCCGACGTATTTTCAGCCGGCCTTTTTTAGGTGTAAAAAATGACGGCCAAAATCGAACTAAAAGAAAATGTACAACCCATTTTCAAGAAGAAAAGAAATGAACCTTTCGCATCATTAGAAAAGATAGACGAAGAGTTGGATAGACTCGGAAAAATCGGTATATTGACAAAGGTGGAATATAGTCAATGGGCTGCACCTACGGCTTACGTGAAAAAGAAATTGAGTGAGATACGAGTATGCGCTGATTTCTCGACGGGATTGAATGCAGCGATTAAAGATTATCACTATCCTCTCCCTAGTTCAGAAATTTTTTCTCAAAAATAGACTTGAGCGAAGCATACCTACAAGTACCAGTAGATGAGGAAAGCTCGAGGTTGTTGTGCATAAACTCTCATAAAGGATTATATAAGTTCCAGAGATTACCATTCGGGATCAAGGTCGCGCCGGCGATATTTCAGTAAATAATGGACACTATGCTAGGCGGACTGGATTTCACGATCGCATACCTTGATGACATCCTGATAAATAGCAAAAGTATTGAACAATACTGGGAACACGTTCAAGCAGTTTTCAGGCAGATACAAAATTACGGTTTTAAGGTAAAGGAAAATAAATGTGACTTCTTTATGATAAAAATATCTGGGCCATATTATTAACGAAGAAAGAAGACCCAGAAAGAGCCACAGCAATAAAAAAAATGCCGACTCCAAAAAATTTAACCGAGTTACAAAGCTTCTTGGGCTTAGTAAATTATTATCAAGAATTTATTCGTAACATGCACAAATTACGCGCACCCGTAAACGAACTGTTGAAGAAGAAGAAAATTTGGGAATGGTCAGATGAATGTCAGAAAACTTTCGACAAAATCATTAAGACTCTAACAGCAGATTTATTTTTAGCACATTATGATCCAAAATTGGAAATAATAGTCGCGAGTGACGCGAGTGCCTACGGTGTTGGGGGCATATATACTTCATAGAATGCCGGATGGGATACTAAAACCCATCGCGCATGCGTCAAGAACATTACTACCAGCCGAACAAAATTACTCGCAAATCGAAAAAGAAGCGCTGGGGATTATTTTTGCGATTACAAGATTCCGCAGTTATATTTACGGTAGATTTTTCACCTTGCAGACGGACTACAAGCCGTTACTAACAATATCTGGATCAAAGAAAGTTCTACCTGTCTACACAGCTAATAGATTACTAAGATGGGGGACGATTTTATTAAATTATAATTTAAAATTGGAGTATCTTTCATCAAACAAAATGGGGCATGCAGACGGTCTTTCGAGACTAATACCAAAGAAAACGGAGCCATGAGAAGATTCCGTAATTGCAGCTCTACGATATGAGGAAGATATTAGAACATCCTTATATAGTACAATTCGAAACCTCCCCGTCACATTACAGGAAATAAGAAACGAAGCAGTGAATAACGAATTTATAAAAGAAACGAAAACAAAAATTGCAGGAAAAGATAAGCATATATCAGACAGTTTTTCGTTATGTGATAATGTTCTGCTATATAATGAAAGAGTAGTAACCCCGAAAACGCTACAAAGGCGAATCCTCAAGGATTTTCACATGGGCCACCCAGGAAAGAACAGGATGAAATCCTTAATGCGAAGTTACGTGTACTGGCCAAACACGGATCAAGATATTATACATATGGTGGACAAATGCAAGGGCTGTTCCTTAGCAGCCAAGGCACCTCCGATCACTCATAAGCCATGGCCTAAGACAGATCGACCGTGGTCGAGAATCCATGTAGATTTTGCAGGTTCATTTGAGGGTTTCTACTACTTGATTGTAGTAGACAGTTACAGCAAATGGCCAGATGTATTTCATTTTAGAAAACCTACTTCTGAGACGACAATAAATTGCATTCACGAGCTGTTTGCTCGTTTCAGAGTGGTTGATTGTTTAGTCACCGATAATGGGACACAATTTACATCTGCGGATTTTCAAGAATTTTGTGAAACTTTTCAGGTGAAACACATCAAATCTCCGCCATATCACCCAAGGTCGAACGGGCAAGCAGAGAGGTTTGTAGATACATTAAAAAGAGCACTAAGGAAAGGTTATGGCGTACCAACAGAAAAGGCTTTACAACAATTCTTGCAAGTGTATAGAATTACACCGAAGAGTACTACACCATCGGCATTATCGCCGGCGGAAGTAATGTTCGCCCAAAAAATTAGATCGGTATTCGACAAATAACTGCCAAAACAGACAAAGCAATCACCAACGTCGTTTGTACCAAAAAGAAAATTTAGCTCAAGGGAGAAAGTTTTTTTTTTTTTAAATGTTCAAAAACAATACATCCTATTGGGAGCCAGGTACAATAGAGAAACGAATCGTGAACGTGATTTACATAATTCAGAGTCCGAAGTTGTCACATAAAAGGCACTTAAATCAGATCAGAAAGAGGCTGTTAGAGGATTCTAACGTTCTACTTCAGGAAGAGGAGGAAGTAAAGGACACAATATTTGACACATTCAATACGTAAAGGACTCAAGCAATTTTAGAACCGCGGAAATCAAACAGAAAAAGAAAATTTACAGAGCCTTTGATGATTAATCCAAAGAAGAAAAAATATTAAAGACCCCTGCGAGGTAAAAGCTTGGGAGAGGTGTGTCATGAATCCTTACCTATAACTACAGAATGAACTCTTCCTAACACTATGTATACTACGCCACTCAAGATAGGGATGAATCGAATCGAACCGATAGTAGTTCACTCCAAACCAGACTGACAGTCATATTAACACCTTCCACATCTTGTATTATTATTTCGTGTAATATACCTTCGTTATTTCTACTCTTGTGTTTGTGTTGTTCTTCCTTGGTCCTAACTTGTACCATAACATAAACCTAATCTCTTCATATCTATCTATCTATCTATCTATCTATCTATCTATCTATCTATCCTAATCTCTTCATATCTTTATTTCTTTCTTTCTTTCAAGTTTGTTCATTTTTATCTATCTATATATCTATCCTAATCTCTTCATATCTTTTTGTTTCTATCTATCTATCTATCTATCTATCTGAGTTTATTCATTTCTTTCTTTCTTTCTTTCTTTCTTTCTTTCTTTCTTTCTTTCTAAGTCTGTTCATTTTATCTATCTATCTATCTATCTATCTATCTATCTATCTATCTATCTATCTATCTGAGTCCTTTTCATATCTATCTATCTATCTATCTATCTATCTATCTAACCGAAACTCTTCATATCTTTTAGTTTTTATCTATTTTAATGTTTCTGCTTACATAAATCAATCAATTCCATTTAGTCGACTGCGTTTGTATACATTTTCCCTTTACAGAAAAGCCTCTCATCACCGCAAGGATCAAAGTTGTTATTAATCAAATCGCTTTGGCATTTGTAGGCCGAGACTAAAGGTTAAATAACGGTTAGCCATATAAGAAGACATTTAAACCCATAGCTTTTGTTGTTTATATAATTCTCAAGCGTTCACAAAACATGTGTCCCGAATAATTAAATTTTAAATCCAACACGGTGACATTTTTACAAATCAATGTTCGCTTTCCATTCTGCGTCAAAGACTAATGTCTAATAAATGTTCTGAAGACTCACGATCGTTTGTCGATACGATTGTTTCTTTCTTTAAATTGTTCAACATGTTTAAGGTCTCTTCGCTCGAGTAATGTTGCTGCTTTATTTTCATGATGTTTGCGAAGGCCGCTTTCCCTCCACAATTCGTGCACTCTATCCACATTCTAAGAATGAGAGGAAAAAAAAATAAATTGCATTCACTTGGTAAAAAGAAATCATTGTGTTTATCCCTGAAGGTAGCATTAGGTGTGTTTTAAACTATTTAATTAAAAATACTTAACTTCCTTCAAAACAGATCAAAATTGATTTTGCTTTTTGTCAGCTTTCTTAAAAAAACATCGAAATTGCTTTGGCCTTTTGTTAATTTCCTTAAAACATCGAAATTGATTTGGCCCTTTGTTAACTTTCTTAAAAAGATCAAAATTTATTTTACCTTTTGTCAACTTTCTTAAAAAAATATCGAAATTGGTTTGGCCTTTTGTTAATTTCCTTAAAATCATCGAAATTGATTTAGCCTTTTCTTAACTTTCTTAAAAAGATCAAAATTGATTTTGACTTTTGTTAACTTTCTTAAAAAAAACATCGAAATTGTTTTGGCCTTTTGTTAATTTCCTTAAAAGAAGATCGAAATTGATTTGACCTTTTGTTAAATTTCTTAAAAAACATCAAAATTTATCCTTTTGTTAATTTTCTTAAAAAATCGAAATTGATTTGGCCTTTTGTTAACTTTCTTAGAAAAACATCGAAATTGAGTTGACCTTTTCTTAACTTTCTTAAAAATGATTGCCTTTCAGTTGGCCGTATGTTAACTTCCTTAAAACAAGTTCGCATTTGAGTTGATTTTTAGTTAACTTTTCCTTGTTTCTAACTAAATATTCCTGCTTCTTAATATTTCTTTTATCTGTTGGAAGACAACTTTCGCCATTCCAAACCGATTTCGGATATCGGTGTCATATTTTCCGTCTTCTGTTAAAACATTTCCCAAATTTACAAATTCTAAATTAGGCAAATCTCGCATATTCTACACTTTCATCCTCGATATTGAGTACAGATGTAGTGTTGGCAAGGTGATGGTTTCTGTTTTTTAGGATTCTGAAGGCGTAATCATGGAAAAGGGGAAAACTATTAATGGACAGTACTATGCATCAGAATTAAGACAACTGAAGGAAGCAATCAAGTCGAAACGTACAGGGGAGGTGAGGGAAGGTGTGCTTTAGCTCCAGGATTATGCGCCCGTTCACAGCGTTCAGGTTGCAGCAGTTGAAGCAGACAAATGTGGTTTTGAATTGCTATCGCATCCTCCTTACTCTCCAGAATTAGCTCCATCTGAACTTCTTTCTGTTTCCCAAACTTAAATCCCACTTGTTTGGTTGCCATTTTGGAAACAATGATAAGATCATATGTCATGTGGAGAAGTCTTTGGAGGACCACAATGCCACGTTATTCCGTGATGGGATTGCGTTGCTTAAGTATCGTTGAACCAAGTGCATTGATGTCATGGGGGACTATACTGAAAAATAGTTAAAAACTGTCTTGCTTCTGTAACTCCTTTTGAATTAGGCCTAGAAGTTTTTGTACGACCTTAGTAAGATATTTATAAAACCGTCCGGTGTCATATCGGTCGATTAGTGAACTCACTTGTTTAATATTTCTTTGACAGTTCACACAACTCAGGTTGCTACCTCACTCCACTAGTCACCTCGTATAGTTTCATCCTATTTCCTAGACTGAAATTCCACCTTTAGAACTTTTAGAGCGTTTGAACGACACTTCGAAGTTATTTACTTAATAAATGTGGCACTCTTTAGATCAAAATTGTGGTTGAATCTTTGATTGCCTCCTTTGCCATTGCATTAATTTCTTGATTTCTTTTAACGCCTAGATGACCAGGGAGACAGGCCAAGATTACCACTGATAGAGCAGATGATGAACATTAGGATCAACACCCAACATTGACAGTATGTTTCATGATTAAATGCAATCTTAAAGATTGTATTTAAGCATTGAACAGACTTTTGGCGATGGGTGTTGACACCAATGTCCGCTCATATATATATATATATATATATATATATATATATATATATATATATATATATATATATTTATTTTAGTTTATGAAAAACTAGGTAATCCGTATGGGTAAAAGCTAAGGAGGATAAAATCCAGAGAGCTCAATGTAAATGCAGATCAAATAATTTAAATAAAAACAGACCACTTTAATAAATTATTTCACCACAGCCCTTTTAAAGGACTACGGATCATCAGACTTTACTTCTAATATATATATATATATATATATATATACAGTGTGGTGTAAAAGTAAGTGAACCCATAACTTTACACTCTGTTTTTTTTTTTTACATGATTGCCAGTGCAAATAATTTTTTTTGCGCAGATGTAAAAATCAAAATGACACGTGTTCCTTATTTGGTAAGCTTTTTATACTGCAATCGAACAATATAACTCATAGTGTATGCAAAATTGTGCAATTAGAGAATAAATTTAAATATATATATATATATATATATATATATATATATATATATATATATATATATATATATATTTAAATATATATATTTACTTATATATATATATATATATATATATATATATATATTTAAGTAATAAAAGTCTTGGTAATCTTTAATTGCTTCTAAGTCTCATTAACCTATAAAACATTTTTTAGAGGCTTTTGAACGATCCTTCGAAATTGTTTACTTAATAAGTGTGGCGTTTCTTTAGATCAAAATTGTATTTGAATTTTTGGTTGCTTCCTTTGCCATTGCATTAGCTATTTGATTTCTTTTAATGGCTAGATGGCCATGGAGACAGGCCAAGATTACCATTTTGTGGGCTTCTATCAAATTGTATCAGGCTTCCAGAATGATTTTGATTGTTTTCCTTAATTGCTGTTTGGCTGGAGAGGGAGTCTAAGAATATTATGAGTGTTCTGTCTTTTGATCATGTTAAGCGCCAATTTTGATCATGTTAAGCGCCATTTTTTTGAGTTGTGGTTTAGCTGTATAAATGGATGCATTTATTGCCCGAGAAGATCAATTAGGCCGATATACTTACGATTTCCATATCTTGAAGACTAAAGGCAAGATCTGAAGTGTGAGTTGGTGAAATAAGGTTCTGGTTGGACCCTCTCGTTTCAAAGTCATTCTAGATATAATCGTCAGATTTTTAGGGACGCCCAACTGAGAAAAGTTATAAAAAAGATAGAAATAAAAAAAAGTGTATTTAAACTTTGAGAAAATCAGCCTTTCAAATTGGCTAAATCCCCTTAAAAAAAAAATAGCCGATTAAAGGCGTTAATCGATGAAAAAATTCTACGGAAAGTAAATTTCTCAGATTAATAAAGAAAATCTATCATTTTAGAAATGTACATATATATATATATATATATATATATATATATATATATATATATATATATATATATATATATATATACTAAAAATAGAGTTTTAAGGTATGCAATATTCATGGGTTAAAATTCTCAATATCAGTGATAGAGCAGATGATGTAAATATATAAGTAAACATTAGGATCGACACCCAGCGTTGACAGTCTGTTTCATGTTTAAATGCAATCTTTAAGATTACATTGAAGCATTGAATAGACTTTTGGATCAATATTGTGATTTTCTTTCATCGTTTAATGATAATGTTATTAAGCTTATCAGACGTTATGAAAAGAATTTACATGAAATAAATAGACTACACTTGTCTATATTATTTAATGAAACATGTATGAATATATATATATATATATTTATATATAGTGCTGTGCTAAAGTAAGTGAACCCTTAACTTTAGACTCTTGCGTACATGTAAAAATCAAAATGACACCTCATTATTTGATAAGCTGTTTATACTGCAGTCGAACAATATAAGTCATAGCGTATGCAAAATTGTGCAATTAGATACTAAATTTAATATATATATATATATATATATATATATATATATATATATATAAAAAAAAATATACTGAAAAAACAAACAAAAATCTTAATATGCAATTATGCTGTATTAATATATATAATATTCTGTATATTTTTCTTCATACTGTCGGATCTATATCCATATTATATATATATATATATATATATATATATATATATATATATATATATATATAAAATAAATATATTAATATATATATTAAGTAATGAAAGTTTTGGTAATTTACTAATTTCGACCATGTTTCTCATATATATATATATATATATATATGATAGATATAATATTGTAGAAATATAATATATATATATATAATATAAAAATTATATATACATATAAATATATATATAATATAAAAAAAAATATATACATATATAAATATATATAATATATATACATAATATAAAAATATATAAAACATATATAATATATATATATATATAAATATATAATATAAATATAATCTATATATATATATATATATATATATATATATATATATAGTTAAGTTATGAAGAACTTGGTAATCCGTATGGGTAATCCTAAGGAGGATGAAATCCTGAGAGCTTAATGTAAATCTAGAGCTAATATTTAAAAGAAAAACAAACCACTTTAAGGTACCATTATAATAATTTATTTCACCAGAGCCCTTTTAAAGGATGCCGGATCATCAGATAGCACTTCTAAAA